TATATACAGAGCATTCCGGAACAGGCCAGCAAGTTTTCTTGACTTATTAGACCGAGTAGGACTATAAGTATGACTGTAAATGGAACAAACAACAACAACAGAAGAATATACCATGCCATACGTTTTAGTGAACTCATGTCAAGCCTTTAACATTAACTAAATAATGGTTTAATAAATCAACTAAGAGTGTATGCAAATGGCTCCTACTCTATTTTCTACATTCGGACTTGGTCAGTTTAAAGTGATTTACTGATTAAAAGCTAAGATTTCCCGCGCTAAATTTGACTTGAACTTGGCTAGAGTGGATTTTACGTGAAACATTATATCATCAACACTCGCAACGGGACTTGATACTGGTTCGTGTCAATGGATCACAGGACAGATGTGAAATTGAAGGCAAACCAGGCCTCATGTCAAGCGTTTAACATTGACTAAATAATGGTTTAAGGAACAAACTAAGAGTGTTTACCATTGCAATCGGCGACGTTAGAAACTATTTATAATTCCGAAATAAAATGTTATCTAGCCTAGATCGGTTAAGGGGATTTACAGACTAACAATTAAGTTGTAAAAATCCTATGTCAATTTAGAGTTATTTGTGTGTATCTATGTGTTCTTATGTGCCTTCCTATAATGCATCGTGTGACTTGAACCAAATTACTGTATAGCTCATAGTAATTCATAGACTTTTGGTTGTATAAAAACAGCATTTGGAACAGGCCTGCAAGTTTTCTTGACTTATTAGACCAAGTATGATTGTAAGTATAATACCCTCGTCAGATGAGATGCATCATATGATGGACAAAAACTTGGAACTTTTCAACACAAGACAAAGAACTGTATTAAATATGTTCCAGCAATACCAGCCAAATGTCGAACAAATGGAATCAGCCGTCGTTTTCTGATGAGATCCACCATCACATCGTTTCATTACACGTTTTTGCTCGAAACGGAGATAAGCTTGCCAAGAAGAAATAAATCAAGTTCAAAGTCCACTTGTCTTATGCCACCGGTCGACCTTGAATGAGAGCTATTGTGCATTCGCTACGTGACCGCGATGCAGGATGAAGACAGCCCACACATTGGCCAGACATAAAAGTAAATCAAGTGTATAGCGATGGAAGCAGATTCGCGCCTACATGTGACGTGGGAAAAATCAGCAAAACATACCACATAAGATGATGACATAAACAGGGTTACAGCCCAACTCAATATGACGGAAAGTGGGTTAGCAAAAACGAGCTAAAAAGCGTTTTGGAGGCACCGTGAACAATTGACAATCAACCCATATTCGAACAGAGTTTGTGTGTCCTCTTAAATACAACAGTCATGGCTGAGGCTCTTTGGGATTATTTTCATTTTTGATATCAAATGTCCTATTGGGTGGACGTGGTTAAAAGACGCATTAGAAAAAATCCCATGTGCTGTATCTGTTTTATCAGTTTATTTGTAGGAATCTTGCGATTTTGGTAGTAGCGCATGTTGCTATGGCGTTTGGTTTACTGCTTTAAATTGTATTGCATATTAGACGTCTTCACAAAGTTGGTTGTACGGATTTACTTAAAAGTTTTATTTAATTTTAGGCTTCATACTCGTAAGGATGTTTATTTTTTACAATTATTTTTATATGCTCCACACCTTGGCTGATTAGTTGTGAGAAGAGTTTTGCAGAACCAATAGTTCTTTCTACACTTGTTAGTATAAGGCTCGAGTGATGTTTTCTTTCTTTTTGTGCAATATAATATTCAATAAAAAGTATTTTCATTTTTAATTCTTGTTTCATCGTAAATTTACATAAGTATATGCTCAACCTGGAAATAAATTTGGTAAGAAAGCCGACATATGAGCTGACTTGTCTTCCAAAAGAGTTCAAAAGTCTTCCGAATTAAAACATTGCGAGTTGCATCAAATCAGACGCAAACGTGATAATTTATTTGTCATTTGTGCTTTGAATAGGCTTCGAAAGTATCTGTCTTAAAATGCCATTGGATTTCAATTAGGCCTTCCTTCTAAAAACGTTTTTCATTCCGACTTGACTGCAGTTAAGCGTGTTCTGGAAGAGTTCTGGCTTACTTTGAACTGCATAACTGTTCCATGGTCTACGGAAATTTATGGTCGCGTGGACTTGTGCTAATGTTTCATCAGCTTACGCTCCAAATCCGACTTTGAGTCCTGTTTGGACAACTGAAATAACCAAAGAACTTTTTGGAGGGCATAGCGAAATAGAATTCAACATCATTGTGAAGCCTACTTAACTAGGTCCTAACTAAAGTGGTACCGATGAAATGAATTTTCATTAGCTGAACTGCGGCTTCGAATTCGCGTTTTCACCGGAACCGAAGGAGATTGCCTCAAAAATGGTGTCAGCAAGAATGTTCCAGTAAAGCCAATCGACGGCTGGTCAAGAGGAATCTGCCGTCGATGTCGTCGTGGGATTCATCTTGGAATTTCTGCAATGTACACTTTTACTCAAAACAGAAGTGAGCTCAGCCAGTGGAAGAAAAAGAAATGTGCCCAACTTCAACACGATTCAGTTGATTGTGGGAAAACTCAACTAACAGTCGTCAAGCCACCTCAACCGGCTTATG